GGTTTAATCAAGGAGACGACCCGTGAAGGCAATGCCTGAGATCTGCAAGCATGGCAATCAGAGCCTAGGCACTCTGCTCGGTGAGGCGACAGTGTACATGCTTCTACGGCCTTGAGAAATAGCGGCTTGAGTGAAACGCACACGGGGACTGGAACCGAGTGTAATCGGTCAACCAGAAAGATAAGGAACGGATCTATGGGACCATGAGGAAGCTTAGGTCCAAGTTGGATCAGCCGATCGAAAGAGAGGGGGTCGGGGTGAATAGAAAGTGTGATGAGGCCACGTTAGATTTGCCATAAAAGGGCATATTTTGACAAGTGAAATGTAAACAAGTCGTATAGGGCGGCATGGGATAAAGGGTAAAGAGTAGATAGATAGGCCAGGACAGAAAGAGGAGTGATAGTGTAACCGTTTTCGGCAGAACGTTGGTCGAGGGATTGACTTCACTTGTCTCTTTGACGAGTTCCTAGCTTGGTGCGGAGAATGGCAGCACTCACTGATTATGCCGACTACGATTCCGGCGAAACTTTTGAGAATGTACCAAGTCCACTGTCCGACGCTGAGAATTATGACAAATATTTTGGCAGAGGACTTCGGACAAGGTACGTTTTACTAAATTGCTTTGACAAGAAGACCAAGTTGTGATAACAAGGTCAACTCACTTCTCTTAATCGAAAGGAGACTGCGAACATACCGGGGGCATATTCTTGGTCTTCATATCTTCAACATTTTGTATTACTTTCTAGATTTGTGCTTGCTTTAGCCAATTTTTATTGTTGCGTGCCTCGAGTGTTTGTCTACTTCTACAAGTTAAGGTGTCTGGTATCTTGCGCTCAGCCTATATTATTGTAGGAAATTTCAACTGTTATTCCTTCATCAGATGCCGTCCATGTGATATACTTCAGATATACAACTGGTATCGTATCCTACTCCATATGAATATAAGTAATATAGTATAATGTATTATAAAATGCAATTTTGCTTAATCAACAAGTCCACTAAAAGTGTGACAAGAAAAAGGCCTGGTTAACCTTGAAATTTACTCCTGCCATGTGACCATTGGTACTCGTGGCAGCTTAGCATAGTGGTAATATGTCAACATTATACACTGCAATACCACAACCCTGGTTCGATTCCCTCTGGGTTTGCTGACGAGTCTGAGGAGAGGTCGAAATTACGGTCCGGTTCAGCCTGGATTTTGGGAAGCTAGGCTATATAAAATAAAATGGCACCATAAATCCTATTAATATCACTGTAGCGAAATTCAACTATCAATCCTACATCGCCTTATAAAAACCAGGTCGCATGTCATTTTTACACAAGATTTACTGGAAGTATCGAAATCTACTCAATATGAATATAATTCTTGTACTTCTGCAGATGGTTTAGCCCATCGGCTAACGAATCAGATCTAATTGAAATTTAGGCA